CCGCCTTCAGAGCACCGTGCGGGGGGGGTCAGGTGACGAACGTGAACTTCAACCGCGGGCAAGTGCACGCATCTCGGCCGGGTTTTGGGGCCGGACCCTGAACTTGGGCCCCTGGCCGCCCTCTCGAAGGATTGGGACAGGGGTGGGTGCCAGGGGTCTGTTCAACCTGAGCTCGATGGCTTCACGGCTCCAAGAGCCCCTACTGCTCGGGGGAAAGGTCTCATTCCCGTTGGACCGGAGCAAGCGACGGCGAGCCACGAACGGCGTGGGGGGACTTCTGCGGAGCACAGGAACTCTGCGTCGAGCCGTGCAGCCCTGGTGCGACGCACGGATGTCGCTTCCTTAAAGCACCCGACGCTCTATCGAGCTATACAATGAGAATGCGAGCTGCGAGACTTGTGCTTGAGCTCAAGATACAGGTTTAGCCTTCCAGATTGGTGAATGGATGTGTACTTTAAGACTTTTTAGTCCCCTTCCAAATAGAGTTGCCGAGTTCCCTTTGTCTCGCGGCGAAAGGAAGATTCTGACCCTATCATGATCATGACTGGTATTTTGAAGCTTCACTTCACCTCGCTCCGCTGGACGCTTCCTGTGCTTCACCACACTCCGGGGAACCCGACGATCGAGATCTCGAGTTCTCAGGTCGAAGGGAAGAAGGGCGGCCGCTGGTATACAGAGGATGAAGTGATGAAAGTCGACCCGAAAGCCTTGGGTTTGGCTGCGTGGCAGCAGTACTTGGTGCACCACGTGGAAACGCCACGCTGCGCGTTTTGCGCGTACGTTTGAACAGCGAAAACGCTGCGCCGAACGCCGAAGCTTCCATGGCGCCGACGGCGGCGAAGTCGACGGCGGCGAACTCGATGAGTTGGGGGGAAGGGCCATGAGTGGGGAGGTTCCAAAAGATGTGAAAAAGCAGGGCTTTTCGGTGGCTTTGAGCATCCTGGTCATTCTTTTGGTGAACGTCGTGACGATGTTCAGGAGAACCTCCCTGCCGAGAAGGCAACCCTTCCGCTGTGACAGCTTGGATCGCAGAGTTTCACCATCAATGTGGAGTCCAGAATTCAACCCAGGCACCTCCGCTCCCAACGGCGCCATTTTTCTTCGAGTTTCGTTGTTTTGCTGAGTAACCCAAGTTGGACAAACAACGGTTTAACCTGGTCAAAGCATGGGTTCCTCATAGTTCCTGCAATTGTTCCGATGCGTTGTTCATTCCTTTCAGCAAAAACACCCCGGAGAAAAGAACTGGCCGAACTGAACGTCACCTCCCCTACCTGCGCGGGACCCGGCACATGACCTCAGCTGAAGCTGCTGAGGTCCCTCTTACCGACTCGGAATGGGCTGGCTTGCCCTCGACACGGTCCAACTATGTGACCTTCTCTCAGCAGCTGCCGAACCCCCTGCTGGAAGGTGAGGGACCGCAGCCTCCGAAGGGTCGCCGCACGTGGGGCTCCGAGGTTGCTGATGGCAGCGGAATGCAGCGGATGGCAGCAGGGGGGCTGTGGAACTGACACAATGACATCTTAGATCTGGATCCCTTTTAAATCCTTTTTGACGTTTGGGGATGTCCCGGTTTTTCCACGTGTTCTAATCTTCTAAGATTGGGCACGGGTCGTGAATGTTCTGGACACCTGCAGAGTGGTTGCACTGGATGCCCCAAGACTTCCTGGTGTGTTAGGTCGGGTGCTTGGTCCAAGCCAGCTGGGGGTGCTAGGCGGTGCTAGGTCAACGTGAACGCTTGCGCGCTTCGAAGGCGGTCGTTTTCAGAGCGCTTCGTGGCCTTCCTTTTCCTCCGCCCCGGAAGCCGTTGAACCGAACCGGCGGCGGAGTCGATGCGCCTCCGTGTCCGCGTCCGCGTGCGCGCGGCACACGCGGACGCGCCGATGCGCGTCCTCGATGAGGTGGCTGGATGGGGAAAGGCCGAGCGGAGAAGGCGGAGGAGAGCAGTGGTGCAGAGGTGGACTTGAACTTTGATGTGGTGCAGATGGGCTTCATGTCCAGCTATGTGGCTATGCGGCATATAGCTGATAGCTCTTCAACTTGGAGTTTGTTGATGAGTTGATATAAATCTTGGCCCTGAAAATCGCACTGCAGGATCGAGATTCGAGGCCTGAGGAGCACCATGTGGACCCCCATTCTGATGCCTTCGTTGACGTTCTCCCCAACCAGACGCTGTTCCACTAACGGGTCACAATATGATCCTGGGTTACAGTTCTACCGTCAGTATGGATCATCATCAGTCTTCTGTCATTTGACGATGTGTATCGATGTGTGCTTTTTTTTCACCCAATTTGCATCGATTTCCAACCATTTCCTTCGGCGCATCGAATGAAGGCCATCCAACCCAAGGCACCTGGCAGGACTCCGGGGCCAAAAGCTCCGAACCGGTCCAGGTCGACCGGTTCGGGCGCAGCGGTCGACCGCGCTGAGGTCGATGCAAAGGTCTTCTACGCCGAAGCGGGCCTCGAAATCCGCGGCCACTGGCGCGCGGCCGACGGCAGCGTGGGAAGCGTGGTGGGGACCAAAGCACTGGCGGGACTGGCTTTAGGAGGCAAGAGGGGGGATGTACGGGGAGTGTGAGGGAGAAGCGGCCAAAGTGGGAGAGAATCAGACATTCAGAGTTAGCACCTGACAGACACTTCGAGTTTAGAGGCGGACGGTTGCAGCACTTGTTGAAGACCGCAGGTGGTAGCCTGGAAGGTGAGAAAACATGTCCGTGTGGGAGGTACAAGGTTGTCGCTAGAAGCCAATTTCGCTCACGCCCAAAATTCATGTGTCAAGTGAGGACCTAAGTTGCATGGAGAGTTTGTGAAGACACATGGGTCAAATGGGGTCTTAAGTCGTTTTTTACCATAAATTTTGACAAGGCACACGGCGAGAATGATAGGAATTGTTTGGCAGACACGACAGCTTTGAGAGATGTTCGTCGGGGTTCGAGAAATCGAAGTCATTCCCTGCGCATGGAGGTCCTATCGCTTTGTGGGGTTGGTCAGTGGGTGTGTCGACGGTAGCTTCTTAGCTATTATAAGGTGTCTTGCTACTAGTAGCTAGTAGCTTCTCGTTACTGAAACAATTGAGACCTCCACAAGACCAAACACTTACTTACTGTATCTTACTGTAACCATCGAACCTGCTTATTACTAGTTGAAAGGATGAAATGGATGAACATACAAACCCCTTTCAATCTGTGGATCCCTCCTGATTGAATGCAAAGCGCCAAACTTGGCCAGTAGGCGTCCTTGGCTCGCTCCTCAATGGACACAAAATGCTAGGCCTTTGGCATTTGGAACTTCAGACAGGGGCTGAGTCCATGCAACATGCCTGGAATTGCTGGCGCCTCGGCCACGCAAGATCGGCATATGCTCGACTGCTTTCAACAGTCCTTTTCGCAGATTGGATGATCGATTCGAAGAAAACATGGCAAGTTGTGCCCCCACTTAAGTGAAGATCCAGCTGGAGCGGTACGTCAGAGACGGCATGCTGCAAGGGGGTCGCACGATCCTGGGTGTATAGACGGCATCGAGAACTGTCCAGGCCTCACTTGGTGGGAGACACATATCGGATTCTCACCACTAGACTTTGGGAACCGCGCTGGCCTGTTTAATGAGAGGCCTCTGACAATCATAGAAATGATCGTCTACCAGGAATCACAGGTCGGGGTGCTTTGGCTCGTCCCATCCAGTGAGTGGATGTGACAGGGGCACCCGAACTTCCTCCCAACTCGCTCGGCACCCGTCGAACGTGACTCCTGGTACCTAGCACTTCCGCCCAATGGAGATTCATTGGCGAGACTTCCATTTGTTTGCGGGATGTTCGGGACGTACGATTCCCTCAAGGCCGGGTGTTGCCGAACTCTCGCAGCAGTTGGTCGGACCCGCCTGGAAACCACAACCAGAAACAAGTGGATGTTGTTAAAGGATCTCAATCCGTATTATACTGGAACATACCTGGACCTTCAAGGGGTGTCCAATGGAGGTCCCTTAGTAGTGGGCTGGGGCTTCCATTGGAGACCCCGGCATGAAGGTGGTACATGGACCAACCATTTGTTTCTGGCTGGGACTCGGTTTCCGAGTGCTTCAGACATATCAGACATTCAGTGCCTTTCTGCTACCTGTCTGCGACGAAGCGCACGATGGTTCGCTCGGATGGTTCGCTGGGAGTCATGGACGGTGTGTGGGGCCGTTCGAGCAACTTCGGCCGACCAACAGTGAGACGCCCCTTCATTGGTTCTGAGACCGCAACCTCGGTAGACTGGTCTCAGACATTCTAAGACTCCCGTTTCCCCCAACTTTCCCAAACTCAAACGCCCCAGGAAAGTCGGGTTTTGTGACTAGTTCCGGTCTCCCGCCCGGCCCAGTCTCCCGCCCTATGGCCCTGTCTCCCATCTTTCTATACAAGAAAAACCAAACGAAACGACACGCCCACTGTATCCCCCTGTCGAATTCCAGGTTCTCCAGCTTCCCGCCCAGCAGCGGCAGCAACACCTCCACCATCCAGATCAGCGGCGCCGCGCTGGCCGGACCGCTGCTGCAGGAGGGCTCGGCGCCGGAGAATGCACCGCCACCGCTGCTGATCAGTGGAGTGCCTTGGGCGAATCGCTCGGGTCCTCCAGCCGGCTGGAGTCAAACAGCTTGGACCACAGCGAGCTTTGCAACGGTCTGGAAAGTTGGAGAGGTCAAGGATTGCGAGGTGATGTGTTTGGAGAACTGTCATGAGATGTTCTGAGCTATATACCCTATAGGGATCCAAGTACGTTCTCAGAAGGTGATTGGAGACACTGTTATGTAGGTTTGGAGGGTCCAAGTACCTTCTGAGAAGGTACTTGGATCTCTAGGGTATGTATTTGCATTGTTTGCTAACTTCTTTCTCTTCCAGGTTGTGACACGCACATATAATTATGAAGAATCTTTGGGACCACGCTCTGATACATTTTTTTTATGTAATCCAGTGTTCTCCTGGGACGGAGAAAGATCATCCGGTCGCCTTCGCTCCCCCCCGCCCAGGAGATGACGGGTAAAGGCGGCGTGTCCTTTACAATGTCAGCCTCACCAGAGGATTTGCCCAAACTGGAAGCACTTGGAGCTAAGAACTGGTGACTTGGAGGGAAGGTGGGTTGGAGAGGGTGGAGAGTGAGTTGGGCATGGGATATTCCGAAAGGAACTGGCAACTTGGAGAACTCTTTCTTCCAAACATTTGCAATGAATGCTAGAAGAATTCATTGACAACACCACTCGCGGAAAAAAACACGGCTATCCAGCAGTTATTCTTCAGGCTCGTCAAATTGAGTTGAACCCTTCACTTTTCCGATGACTCCCAGGGCCGTCAACTTCCGGCATGCCGCATGCCTACCACGCACAGCGCCTCAGCACATCCATCGATATCCCATTTATCCCATGCTTCGATCCATTCCACTAAGACCCTGTTAACGAACCTCATCGCATCCTCGCATCGAGGCGTTACACACTCTCTACAAAGCCATCCCCCCAACCAACACCATATATGCTTACCCCCCCAACGGCCCAACCCCACCATGACACGCGCAGTACCGCGCACCGCTCGCCCGAGGATCGGTTCCACCTGGGAGGGCGACCTGGGCACTGATCGTTGGCTCCGGGGCGCCTGGCGCGTGGGCTCCGAGCGCAGCGGGCGCTGGCGCGCGCGGCACATCGGGCGCCAGGCGGTGAACCAGACCTTGAAGCCCATGGTGGATGCGGGCGCCGAGTGGCTGGGAGCTGAAGTGAGAGAGGAGAGGAAACCCAGCTGAAGCCCCACGAGTCCCAATGAATTACTGGGACTGGTGGTGACTGCTGATCAGTTGGCCAGCAGTCCTATGGCAGTCCCATGGAGTGTCTGAGAGAGATATGGTGGGCGGAGAAGACGTATAGATAGATCGAAATATATACTTATTGTAATTACGTTGATCATGGTGGAGAAGGAGTATTTCAGTATTTTTGTATATTTTTGTTGAGGATGTGACGCAAATTCAATTGTTGTTTTTTGGGGGGTTCAGCAAAGTCAGATTTATAAAGGTCACCGAGTCACCAACATGCCTTCAATATCCTTGCGGTTCAATGTAACGGCTACATGGATGTGAAACCAAATTGGGAGGGGTGCCTTTCTGCAAGAGTTCGACCAGTTCAAACCTGGGCATCATTTTTCTGAAAGCCAGTGTTGCAAGGAGCAGGTCGCTCAGAGTTCCCAATGATTTTGCTTTTGGCGAACCTGCATGTTCCCCTCTGTTTGGGAGACCTATGATAGATACTATAGAATACTACATGATACGTCATGAAAATGATGAGTTCTGAGTGCTTCGGAGCCTCTGTTCGGAGCTTCGGAGCTTCCGAACCACCGAACCTGGCGCTGAACGCGCCGAACCTCGAGCTACCCCGCGGACACCGAGGTGGGAGCCTAAGAGGTGTGAGATCCGCAGTGCCACGGTGGAGGCGAAGACGGGCGTCTTGAAGAAGGGCATGAAGGTGAAGCTTTCCAAGGCGCGGTCTGCGTGCTTGATGTGGTTTAGTGGTTGATGCGCGGGGTGCGGTGGATGCGTGGTTCATTGATGCGCCGATGGACAGCTTCATGAAGAGTCCGTGGGCGAAGGAGCAGAATAGAGGGTCAGATGTGTCAGTTGGACCGTCATGTTGGGGACGGACAGATCCCATTATCATCTTTGGGGGGTCGTTGTTGTTTCTTTTCACCCCCCCCCACACCCGCACTAAACTTTGCACGCGTCACAGTGCTGAGAGCCGAATGACAAGTGGAGGCCAGAGGTTTACCTGATCATCCTCTCTAAGTTGAGACAAAGCTGAGACAAACGCGCTTCACGTGACCAACCAGAGCCACGTTGAAAGGAGTCCGTCTCATTGTTTTCATAGCTGTTTGTCACCAACCAAAATGAATATCATCCCAAACTTGGAAAACACATTGAAAACACTCTCCTGGCCTCACACAAGGGAATCGCACATCAGAGCGTAACCGGCCAAGGGCAAGTGAAGCCCAGGTCGCTTGAGGAACCAACGATGAGTAATCGGCCAAGACTTGGATGATACTTGCACCCTCCAACAGGTCACAAATTGAGACCTCCAACAGGGACTGACAAATCTCTAAAGGAGACCTGGCAGTGAGGGTGCTGGCATACTGAGAATTCTTCACCTCAATTTGCCACGCCCATCTATGTATAGGTCTATTGATTGCTATGCCCCAATTTCAGAGCTCCTTCAGAGAGGGTAGATTCACTCAAATTTGGTTTGGAATGGCTGTTTGCTCAAGAACTATCGTCTTCGTGTAGAGAATCCAAACAATCAACCATAATTATAAGATATCAAGCTTCATGTGGTGCTTCGTTTGGACATCCCAGCAAAGCAACGCACCACTCCACAGCTTGGAAGTCTCTGTTCTTCACCCTGCAGACCTTTTCAGGTCTACAAATCCTGCAGCGATGCCCAGCCCCTTGGGCTTCCACCGCCGAGTCCACACGGACAAAACACGCTTTCCAGGGTGGGTGTTTCATCAAGCAGTTGGGAGCGGTGCCACGGTGTGGTTACAACGAGAAAAGAATGAGGTGCATGTGAAACCACCATTGAGATACGTCAGATGTGTCGACGAGATGGGGCGACGCTTTTGAGACAAAGCTTTTGGATGAGCAGCGCGCAAGTGCGCGATCGGCAGGGGAGCTGCTAGTAGCTGCTAACAATAGTGGTTTGCAGCCCACTGGAGAGGTGTGCAGCTTGGGATGGTCATTTCTAGGCGTGAGGAACTCTTAGACCAGTCACATGTCGGGGTGCCGAGCGAGTTTGGAGGACATCGGGGTGCCCCGAACACACATCCACAGCCACTGGATGGGACGAGCCAAACTCGACCTGTAACTCCTAGGAGCTCATTTTGATCAAGTTTGCCTATACTTCTATAGTGTTCTATATCCCAGACACGACCTGTCTGGGACTGCCATGTCGGACTGCCGATCAAGCCAGACCCCCCCTTGCCACCACCACCCCTGGCCTTGTCCCTTCTTCGGGCCGTGTTTGAGATCCGTACCGCCCCGGTCACCGGGTCGTTCTCCGCAAGCCTCACGGAGTCGTGGTGGTTCCGAACACCTCGTGTGGTCATGCAGATCCGGAGTGAACGGACTACCAGCTGCTTCCCTTCGATCTGGCTGGGGACCCTACAATTGGACGGGCCCCTATCCATGTTTTACGTCACCAGCCAGAACACCCACTGTGTATGTGATTTGTGTCGGACCCGTTTGTTCGGCACCTGACTGTCATGGCCGAGGTTCGGCCCCTTGTGCCTTGGCCTTTTTCTGACGGACGTCGGCGACCTGGCGACGGTCGGTGGACGGTGCCGCGAACGCTTGGCCATATATGGTCTCCGTCTGCTGCTCTGTTTTTGTTGAATCACCAAGTTTCAGGCTGGTCGGAATTGGAGTTTGGTGGGAATGACGATGGAATTACTGGTTCCTTCACCTCTGTCGGAGACGTGCTTGAAACGATCTGGCCCACGACCCGTGATGACACGCCCACGCATCAGGAAGGAGGGCATGACAGGCGTGGTGGTGCAGGAGAATCAAGGAGTCAACGCGGGGAGTCGACTTTGTTGTTTGCGAAGAAGAACGACAACAACAACAACAACAACAACAACAACAACTACTACTACTACTACTGAGCGTAGACCGTGTCAGAAAGCAGGTCCGCGAGTCAGGCCAACACGAGTCAGAAAACACAGCGGCTCGAGTCAGAAAGCACGGAGTCGCGAGTCAGAAAGCACGCAGGCGCGAGTCAGAAAACACGTAGGCGCGAGTCAGAGAGCATATCTCTATGCGAGTCACCCAACTTGTTCTCGAGTCAGCCAAGCTTGACATCCCGCCGGCCTACATGCGCCGAGCCACCGGCCGACTCAGGCCAGCAAAACCCGACACACGAACCTTATTTTGCTAAGTTAGGATTTGCCGTCACTCGGAAAGCTCCGCGC